GGCGTTGTTAGCCCCTGGCCTCTGCCTTTTGGGATATGTTGCTTTTGGCACGCACGCCGTGCTGGCTTTCACCCTACGGAATATTAAGCCTCTAACTGAAGCGCGTTAGAGTAGACTCACTGGAGGGAATGGCCTGCAGAGGCTGATTTAGCCCAGCTAAGATCTGAACTGCCCTCTGCAAGTGTCACCCTGTCTCTGCCTGGGTGCCAGACAGACCCTCAGGTGACTAGGATCTTGAATTGCCTCAGCCAAGTGTCCAAAATTAGGTGGGATCAATTTCTGTCCTGCAGCCATGGGAAAACATGGGTTTCCCTCAGTAAGAAGGATATAAATAAGCATATAGCGTAGAGGAACCATATTGCAAATGTTGAATCTTCCAGACTTGAGGATCACCTTGGATAAGTAAATGTGGATCAGCTGCACACTAAGGGAAGTTTAAGATCTTGTCTCAAATCCTCACTTAAACTCAGCTCTGACTTGATGTCTACTGGCTGCTATTCTCTAGCTTTGGCTAGGTAAGTGGTGAATTGAGATTTTTATCTCTTTTCTAAAAACTGTTTACTTTGTTTCTGCTCTTCCCTCTGTTGTTCTTTTTTCTTTTTCCTACCTGTCACAGCCTAGGTGGCTTCTCGACTTCAGACTACCCAGAACTGTCTTAGGGGCTATTCGTCTGTAGTTCCCATAACAAAGCGGGGCACAAATTGTTAGCTAAGTGTCTTGATTTCCATTGAGAAATCATCTTGAAAAGGGACAAGACACAAAATTAGTCTGCAGGTGAAGTCAAAGTGAGTGTCAGTGGACTGGTGCCACTGCCTGTGCCCAGAGCTAGATTTTACCATTTTTGGATGATTTTCTAAGGACTTGGATGTTTCATGGAAACTGGAATTTGTACCTCAAAATGAAGTGCTCTCCATTTTAGTAAGACACGATGGAGCAAAGTGAAACATGCCAAGTGCGGGGAATTTGTCCAAAGTCCAAACAGAACAAGTGTTCTGCAGAAGGAAATGTCTTTGGCTGATTATGCATTTGACATTAATGTACTCTAACGAAAGAGACTGGAGCTCAATAATTGGAAAAACTATGTATTCCTGCAAAACCATATCTAAAGTCTCCAGCTGCCAATGAGGAAGTGCCCAGAATCTTTTTTTCATACCTCCTCTTTAGCTGAAATCAATCTGTCCCCTACCAACGCAGAATTATTTCCTATAATGCATGACCTGATCAGCCTCCTTTAACATTTATCCAATTGTTGTGGCTCTCACCAGTTCTCTTGGGCAATACTCAAAAGCCAGATAGATTTTAGTCTGGCTCTTCTTCCTGATGCTTATCATAAATGTTCCCTGTCTTGCTTTGATTTTATTGCCACTTAGGCATTCTTCATTGTGCCAGCCTAAATAATTCATCTCTTATTTTGCTGTATATATACTTTGCAGTCCGTTGTTACTCCTCAGCTATTTCTTAACTAAGCTGACTGTCTTAAATACAGGTTTCCAAAGTTTCGGTGATGGAGGGATGTTTTACTGGTGGGATATTGAAGGCTACACTGCAACATTAACCTGCAGTGCAGTACCTTATGTGCAAAATTAAAACACGGAAAATGCTCGTGTAAATGACCACATATTACTACTTCTTGCTGTGGTTCTGAGTAGGAGAGCGTCAGGGTCGGGAATACGTGGTTGCAGAGCTCTCCGGGCTCTGACTGCATGACAAATCCATTGGATTCAGCTGCTTCTGGATATGAGAGGCTGAAAGCTCGACACCAAGGATGACCTTGGTACCTGAGAGGCAGGAAAAGATGCTATAGCTGTCGGAGCATCCATTAGTGGGTTCTGTCAGGGAACGCTACAATTTTAAAAGCCTTTTTGTAAGCCACGTGTGAAGGTTTCAAAGGCATTAGCAGCCTGTGGGTTACGCTTTGGAAATCCCGCTTTTAACAGCTCATCGTGATCCACTTCTACCAAATCACGTCTCTCTACTACTTTGCTGCCCGGTGATTAATTCATTCATTAATGAGATTCTCTGAATGACAGTATGATCAGCCTGTTAACCCTGCCTTCTGTGTTGCCTCTGAAGTCCCAAGCAGTTGGCTCATTTTCCTTCCGTGCCACTTGTAAAGTTAAATCCGTGTTTATAATCATTAACTGCTGCTTTAGTTTCTGTGCTGTTTTTAGTTTCTCACTCCTGGTAAGTATTTGTATTTGGGTTTACTTGTCAGGGGAATCAAGGTACTGATAGACGTTTTCCCAAATAAAAAACTTCATTTTGTTTTCTGGTCTGTTTAGTATCCTTTGTATCTTTTCTCTACCCCTGCTGGTATTTATAGCTCCTACTAAAGTAGTATTATGTGTATTTTTTAATAGAGAGACAGCTTTCTTCATATCTTCAGAGACTGTTAAACAGAGCTCAGCTTACCACATCTGTTTGGTGTTTCATAAACTTGCTGCTCCAGGGTAGAATATTTTTAACTGGAATGATCTAAATGATCAATTTTAATCTGAATAAGCAACCAGAAAAATTTTTAAATTAAAGACATTTTTTCTTGTGCTTTAGAGAGAGAGAGAGAGAGAGAGATGTATGTATGTGTGTATGTTTTCTGAAGAAAATATCCCTGTTTCTTTGAAAACCATAAAACCATGTTTATAACTTGTAGACTTTACATCAGACTGCATTTTTGACTAGGATACACTACAGCTGTATGCATTTTCCCAAGTGGTTAAATACTTAGCAAAATTTATTCTGTATCTTTACATTTTACTTATGTTAGCAAATCGTGAATGATGCATTTTTAGATGATTATTTGTGTAGTTCTTTTTTTTTCCCAAGTTGGGCAGAAACTGAGTTAAATTATATATACAGAATTTTATTTATTAGCTAATTAAAGCTCTCTTAAATGTGATGAATACATAAGAGGGGAAATAAGCTTATCCAAAGATGTTTTACATTTAAAATGACTAAACAAAAGAAGTATTATCTATAATGAAGGAACTGAGCTGATAAACATGAAGACCTTGATAAGTGAAAACAGGTAGATTTTGTCGTTTTGCACACTGTTTCACACCCTCCTGCTCTATCAGCTCAGTCACTCTTCCAGGTTTGACCCAATTATTTGATGAGCTAAGCCAGTTGAATAGAAGGACATTGCAGAAATGTTATCTTTGCACCTGCTGAAGATGGTCCTGTTCGTAAAAACTCATCTAAAATTAACCAACTCTGGTTTATTCAAATGCTCAGATAGCAGCTTCTAGCACTCAGTAGTCTGACCTTCCCAAAAGCTGAAATGTGAAACCCTGTTCGTTTCTTTCAATTCAAATGTTTTATTGTGTGTTATTTTATATAATTATTTATAAGTAATTATTGCATAATATATGTAATTTAAAATATTGTATAAAACATTTTCATAATGAATATATTTAATAATTTCAATTATTTAAAAAGATTATGACTATAAATCAACTATTGACTTTTTTCCATTATTTTAAATATTTTTTTAAAGTATATTTAAATGCAAATCACTCTAATAGCACATCATACATCCTGTGCTCTTCAGTGAAATTTGCATCTTCAACTATCAGTTAGATCTCTAGCTGATCTAACTGGAACGAATTTTAACCACAACTTTGGGAGCAGCTACACAAAATGCTTTACTGCAGTTTCCTGCTTCCGAGAACCATAACCCAATTTGTATTTGTCTTTACTGCTTTGACTGCAAGTTATAGCCACCCATGTCCAAGATCAGATGGCGTCTTACTTCATTCTTGTGTAAATACCACTAAACTGAAGTTACCTCTTTACTGCATTTTTGGAGGGTCTTTCTGTTACATCAGGAAAGTACCTGGTCTTGATAAACTGGGGTAGGGGCTGTAAATGCTGGTTTTATGAGCAAACTGACAATTCGTTTCATCTGCCCTTGAGTTAACGTTTATGAGAAAAAAGCAGCAAAGACTGACTTTCACTTCTTGGCTAGAATCAAATACATTGGTTGCTAAATGCGTGAAGGCCAAATTAGTGATGTATCCGGCCAAGTTAGTGATGTATCCAGCCTAAGTATGCATGCCCGTTTGTGCTGGATTTTGCCAGACTATCAGATCTAACTTTTTGTACAGTGCTGTGAAGATGCAAAACCAACTGGCAAAAGCAGATGTTTAGCTCATCATATGTTAATTCCATTCTATGAACTGCATCTGTATAAGAGTTGTCCTGCAACCTTACCTTTGGACAGAGGATTATCAGGTGTTTACATCATGACCTGTTTAATTCAAGACTCTTTTAAAGGGAATGCAGTGCGGGGGCAGGGGGGACATAGAAAATAAAAGCAAGCTGATGTCCTGGAAGACTGAAACCCAGCCTTCTTGGATCAGCAGACCGCATAAGCAGAACTTCGAATGAGACGGTTTGAGCGCTGCGTGTGAGCAGCGCAGGATCAGACGTGAGAGAGGTGGCAAGACCCCGCACGAGGAGCGGGCGCACGTTGTGGGTGCAGAGCCCTGGCTGATACATCCAGAACTCTTCCAGTGCCAGAGCTAGCAGAGTTAAAGCTTGATCAAATTTCTGATGCTGTTGCTGGCAGCATAGATGTTATCTTTGATGTAGAAGAGCTCATATTACTGCCTTATTTTGTTGGCAGCAGCCCTTTTAAGACTACTGATAAAGAATCCAGTTATGAGATTTTTCTTTTTAACGTTCTCCATTCAAATTGGAGCAAGGCATCTGCCTCTCATTCAACTTATATAGGCAGCAAGCTCTTGAATCAGAATAAGCCTTGAGTAGATTTTGATTTTGAAATGAAAGTCTATGTCTTGTCACTGAACATTTGAACCATCCAGTGGTCTTCGCAAGGGGCTATGCCAAGTGAAGGCTGCCACATACAAGTTGAGGGAAGCGTGTCACTCTTTGCAGCTGGCTGACCAGCAGAGGACATGAGAAAAACTACTCCATTGGTGCACATGATCAGACTTGGTCTCAAAAATGATCAGAAGTTTGAAAACGTGACTTGAGAGAACAGAAGAATTTGTGTTGCTTAGTCTAGAGCAGACTGAGTGGTAGTAGAGGAGGGAAGTAATGAACATGGCTTTTGGGGTCACCGTCAGTCCTAGTTCTGCAATCTGCGTTATTTGCAGTGTGATGTGGGGAATGCTTTTGTGCTTTGACTAAAGCTTAAAAAAAATCATTTTGGGATGCTTTTGTGAACGTCAGATTGTGTTTGCAGTAACTCTTTTGCAGGCGTATTACAGGCCCTTAGGGGAAAAAGTACATGGCAGTCACTTGTACTACAGAATTAGACCAGGTCAAGCCTGTGTATGATCTGTTTTAAATAGCTCTTTACTCAATAAATTGGGTAGAAGTCGTCAAGAGGAAGAAATATGCTGAGTGAAATATGAGAAATAAACTGCACAGTACTGAGTGGAGTTTAACACTAAAATAAATAGTTGTTTTTTTCCAGGTTGTATTTGGCAGAAGTTAGTAACAGGAATGGTCTTCAGCTGAGATGGGGGGTATACTGGTGTACATATGCACCCTTATTTGCCAATTTTATTGGATACATGGGAGTAAGGTATTCACAGGCAAAGCACACAGTGGATTTAGAAATCTGATGCCTTCCATCAATTATTGTGCCGTGGCATAAGCATTGTGTGTTAGAGGCTAAAGAAATCTAAAGAACAGAGAGGAATGCTCGTCTTCAGCTAGCAGTTAAATACAGGTGCTCCTGCGATCTATAACCGTGGGCAACTTCGTATCAAAATGTGCTTGCTGTTTACAGGTGTATTTGTTTTAGGGTGCTTAAAGTAGTGAATAGCCACTGGTCGCCTTGCAGTTGAGTACTGGTTAGTTCAAATAATAAGCTCAGAGTAGCTTAAGGTGGGCACCAAGATTTGAGAACTGAGGCTTGAGGCTCTCTGTGCCAGTCTTCTGTTCTGAGAAATTAGGTTCATAATCAACGCTGTTAGAAGGCTATTTTGAGCCTTCATTTGTGAATGTTTGCAAAGTGCCTAGGGATCCAGGGATGGAAGGAGTGCTATTACCACTATTATTCTGGTTTCGGTGGCCATAAAAGAGTTGGTATCACAGTACAAGATCATGTTCTCCTTATCTGTATTTTGCTGTGATTCCAGAGCTGGTAATGGTGTCGTAGGGTCTATGATTATTCTGACTAGTTATTGAAATGTCTGCATTTAAGTTTATTCTTAAGGGAGCTGTTTGGCTGCTTTCTGGGTGAATGACCATAGTTACTACAACAAGAGCAACCTCCTACCTCTGCAAGCAAACACTGATGGGATTTTTGCGGATTTTTAAATATCCCTTTTAATATCTGCAGGATTCGAACAATAAAACTGGGAGGGAGCAGTTGGTGGATTTGGATTCAGCAAACATGAAAAAAAAGGTGTGAAACTGAGCAGAGATCCTCAGCTTGATTTCCAGGACCTTGGCTAGCATAAATGGGGGCACAGCTTTTCAGTGCAGCTGAGCTGATCTGCAGTGAAAAGGGGAACATAGCTCCCTGCTCTTCCCTTGCACCAGCCCTGGCATTCATCTGGTTCCAAGATGGTTTAAGGAGCTAAACTAGCAGAAACGTACTCTAAATAGAAAACAGTGATGGTTTTGCTCCCTAACCTGGCTCACCATGGGGTCAGATAAGCGCCAGAGCTGGTGTAAGGGAGAATATGGCGGAGGATGAAGAGAGGTATGTCCCTTTCAGAGATGGTAAGAAGTTAGAAGGGCTTAACAACATCATAAAATCTCATCCTCAGTTTGTCTCAGCTGACTGACTGCAGAGTTGCTGCATGGAAGCTATGTCAACTGAAGTTATGGCCCCAATTAATTAGGAAATGTTTTCTAAGGTAAAGCATACTGGAAGTAGAAAGCCTGGGGAATTTTTACTGAGTGGAACTGCAGACTGTCGTGTGCACAGCAGCACCGCTCCGTAGGATGACTGCATGCCAGTATCTGGCAGGGGATACTGCTGCAAGAGCTTTGTTGCTTTAATTATATCTCTGGATGCCCCAAAGATGTTGGGATGTGCCTGGTTCTTGTCCTCTCTTTCTTTTCCCTCTAAATTCTGTGTTCATGAGGGATATGGGATACAGGATACAACTCTTGCTTTGAAGTCAGTACTAGTTCCTCCGTAGGTATCACTGGGACAAATTTTACCTTTAGCATAACTAGCGTTTTGGAAGATGCGTGATTTCCAGCACTGGTTAACCTGAACTAGACAAAGCCCTGTGGCAAAGCCCTGTGGCTAGTCTGTTAAGAGAAAAACAGTTCCTGCTCTCAAAATACAACCTCCAAAAGTATTTCCCAATTTCTATTTGCTGTGATGAATTATTGTCATGACATTACCATTATATATTTAGGGCTCTTTTCTCCTGTAGTTTACTCTTTTGAACAAGTAAATGCAGCTAAATGTGTGGTGTTGGATTTTTTTTTTTTTTTTTTTTAGAATTAGTCCCAGCGTCGTGACTTTTCCGTCATGTCAGAACCTATCACGCTCAATGTTGGAGGAAAACTCTATACCACCTCTCTGTCTACCCTGACTAGCTTTCCAGACTCCATGCTGGGGGCCATGTTTAGTGGGAAGATGCCAACCAAGAAGGACAGCCAAGGCAACTGCTTTATCGACAGAGATGGCAAAATCTTCCGCTATATCCTGAACTTCCTAAGAACTTCCCACTTGGACCTCCCTGAAGACTTTCAGGAAATGGGCTTACTTCGACGGGAGGTAGATTTTTATCAAATTCAACCACTGATTGAGGCCTTGCAGGAGAAGGAGGTGGAGCTTTCTAAAGCTGAGAAAAATGCCATGCTCAACATCACCCTTGATCAGAAGACCCAGACTGTCCACTTCACTGTTCGAGAAGCACCTCAGATCTACAGCCTGTCTTCCTCCAATATGGAAGTGTTCAGCGCTCATATCTTCTCCACATCATGTCTGTTCCTGAAGCTTCTAGGTTCCAAACTTTACTATTGCTTCAATGGAAATCTCTCTTCAATATCCAGCTACCTACAAGATCCCAACCATTTGACCTTAGATTGGGTTGCAAGCGTGGAAGGCCTACCAGAAGAGGAGTACACTAGGCAGAACTTAAAGAGACTCTGGGTGGTGCCTGATAATAAGCAAATCAATAGTTTCCAGGTATTTGTGGAAGAAGTGCTAAAAATAGCCATGGGTGATGGTTTCTGCATAGATTCTTCTCACCCACATACTTCAGATTTCATGAAAAATAAGATTATTCGCCTAATTCGGTACAAGTAGGAATGTCTGCTTATTATGGTAACAGCCTGGAGATATAACTTAGGTTAAGTGTTTCCCTTTAAAACACAGTTACAGCCTAATTCAGAATCATGCTAATCTGGATTAAGAGTCACTAACAGGAGGATGATTTTCCTTTAATGTATTTACCAATATGATCTTTCAAAATAAGCGCATATTCTAAACAGAAGGAATATTGTCCAGCACCTGGATTAAGAATTGATTCTGTCTCTGCCTCCACCTGTGACCTGCTGTGCAATTGTGGGGAAAGTCACTTCACTTGTGTTCTTCTTATATTTTCCAACTGGAAAATGGGAACGATCCTTAACCTATACTGCAAGGGTGATGTGATGGTTCAGTAATCAAGTATCTGGAGATCAGATGCAGTGAAAGATGCCATGGAGCTGCAACACAGTGGACAGCCCAGGGGAGCAGATTTCCCACTTCTTGCTTTGTCATCTGTCCCTGTGCAGGGTGCCCACAAAGCTTTCATGAATCAGCAGAGAAGTTTCCCCACACTCTTAATATGGCTGTGAAGGATAGTGCAAACTGCAAATGAGCAGGGGATTATGTCTGCATGGGTTAAACAAAGGATTTCTGTTGCCATCTGAGGACGATTTTTTTTTTTCCTGAACCCTGTGAGGAAGCCCCTGCTCTGTTCTGCTTTCAGGGAAGCTGGGTTTGAATGACGTGACTGGCATTTTGAATGAGCAAAGAAGCTATAGCAAAGAAAATGATGTTCTTACAAACTGAGAGGATTGTGGGTGGAGGTAACCTTTAGTTCGGATGCTCTTAAACCTTTACTTCTACATTCTGAAGGCATCAAAGACAGCTAGGCCTTTTCTTTCTCTTAGAATGTTGTACTTGTCTGGAGGAGGATGCTGAAAACACTTTCTGAGGTGAAGACAAAGAGGGCAGAGGCTGCCTGTATCTTCTGAACGTTTGAGCCTGTTCTGCCTGGACATGGCCTTTTTTTGGGCATACTTCAGCAGTGCCCAGAGTGCAGGAGATGGTCTGTAAGTAGGACGGATTCTATCTGAAAAGACAACCTGTCTATAAGGTTATACCTAGTATTTTTCATTAGAAGAACAGAGGCTCAGTTTTCCTCTGTACATTGAGCCATTTTTTACATCGCTGTGAAATAGCTAGAACACCAAGGATGCATTTTACCCACTTGCTTGGCTTTAGTGCAAGATTGTCAGAGAGGTAAGGCAGTGGGAAACAACAGGTGATGACAACGGTCAAGCCTTTTCCTCAAAGCCTGGTCTGTGCTATTACTAATGATTGTACTCCACTAGCTGCTTGTTAGCTCTAAAGATAATTTCTGTCCACATTCAAGACTGCCCATTCTCAGCTAATTAAGTGTAAAAGTATCTTAGCTGCATTTCCCTAACCAGATTGCTTTGTGCGCCTGAGAGACTCTCTGGAACTTTTCTCATTATCCCTAATGAGAGAGAGAATACAATCGTCCAGAGGGCATCCAGTAACCATCGTGTTTAGAATTCCACCGCTTCCAAATGTTTTTAGCACAGGGCTGCAAAGCTCAGTCCTGCTCATATTCTTGTTTCTTGAAGAACCGAGCCTATTGTTACTACTGAGCTTACATGCGAACAGCATAAAGAAGTGTTTTGTTACTGTTGTAAAAACTGGTGAGATGAACATAGTTCTACTGTCCTGAGCTGTAATTGCATGAACAACACATACAAGCATGAGAATGGTAAAAATGCACACTATGCAGCTATTGGCAGCCTGTTACAAACCACTTCCCTGTCTGAATTGGTGCAAAACCAGTCCACTAGCATGATATAAGTGGGACCATACTGTTGGCAAGTACTGACTGGGACTGAAGCCTTCATTATCGTTAAACTTAGCAATTTTCTTGAATCCTGATGATTTTAAGCAGAATGTTTTGGCCACACTCCAGCTTGAGTCACCATATTCTTCTAGTTTCAGCTGCATTAGGAAGGACGTTTTTCCCCTACTCCTGTCCTGAATTATAAAATGGGAGTAATCTGTTCCAAAAGTTGCTGCATGCCACAGACAAAGCAAAGTGACTCCTAGGTGAATCTTATTTGCACCATGAGTTTGCCAGTCAGCTGGACGTTCACAGTGATGACTTATTCACGTGATAGTATGATGATCTGTAAAATGTCATATGTAAACCCACTTTCATCCAATCTGTGCCTTGAAGCAGATAAGCCTTTGCTGAAGTTAGTGGTATCAGACTGTTGGCAGTAGTTTTTTTTAACCAAAGCCTTTGAGAGTAGATTTTAAATTATCTATAACAAGAGTTTTCGTATGTCAGGACCAAAAGAGTACTTATCCGTAGTCATTTAGCTTCCTACCAGCTTGAGTTCATCCAGCGTTAAGAACAATGGGCTTGATTCTCATTTGGAAGGGGCGAAAATCCCTCATCCACGCCCTTTAGAGCTCTGGAGTGGTACTTGCCCATTCTGCTTCAGCAAAATACAAGTATTAAAAAGAGCTGAATTATTACTGCATTTTGTCGTGAAAGGTGCAGATGAGGAGCATCAAGAGCACTGTGCATAGCTTTATTGTAGCCATAGGATCTGGAACAAAGGGGAAAGAAAAGGAGAGACCCTTTTGCTCCTATCCCCCATCTTTTCTTCAGACAGTAGCAGCACCCACACTAAAAGCAGACGCATGATTTTTAAAAAGCCTCCTAATAGTCTAAAAAAGAAATGAAGAATGCCCCAACCTGGCCTAGACAGTAACTGGAGTAATTCTGCTGACATGGAAATATGGGTTTGAATCGCTACAGACTGAGGAGGGAACTGAACCCAGGTCTCCTCCTCCTTGAGTGCTTTAACCTATCAGTTTATTATGTAAAAAAATTGAATCTTTAATCCACATTTGTGTGTGCTCAGGTGACTAAATCAGGCAAAGGTAGATTTGCTCAAACATTTCTGTCATTTCTTAGTAACTTCCATATGCAGAGATGTAAAATTTCCAACAAGTATAAAGGAATGTCTGAACACAGGCTTTGGGAGGAATAGAAATTTGGGGTAAAACTTGAAATGTCTGTAAGAGTACATTTCTTAGCAGGATAAATGTCTTTAACATTTTTTGGAATGAGATACTATTTATAACACCAGAGCAGTGCTGCATGATAACCGGGTATGTGAAATAAGTGGTATGTGAATCACTGTGAATTATGGTCAAACATACGTTATACAAATGCAGTTGCTATTTCAAACCACACACTAAGCTCAATTTATAGCTGTTCCTTAATTTTGCACTCTGTCAGCTATGTTATAAGGTGTGTTTATAGGAACGTTTTCTCTCTCTGAAGCATTGTTCCTTTTTTATCTAGATAGCTAGCTTCTATTTCTGAGCCCTAGTGATATAACTTGCTTTTTGTTTACCAGTCAACAGCACTGATGATTCTTGTTCTCAGCAGTTTTCCTGAATTAAAGTGAACAAGCACAAAGCCATATTAAGCACTTAGGGTACAGCACAACTTCATCTCTAGTCATAAAAGCAATTGAAATTTATCAGTAATAGCATCTAAAAATTATTTTACTGTTGGAGTGGAATGCTTTCTCTCAGAACAAACTTAATTTTTCTCTAAGGGCCTGAAAACAAGGAAAAGATCAAGTGATTTGTTGTCTTCCTTAAGGTTTCTAGGATTGCTTCTTCCTATTCACTCATACTCTTGTAGTCTTGTAGGAAGTATTCCTGTTCTCTTGTATGGTATTGCAAGCTCTCTTCTGAAGTGCCCAAGCCTCCATTCAGCGTACAAGGAGCGCTGGTGTGTACGTCAGCCTTGTGAACCCCGCTCCCAGAGCTGGGCTTTTAACTTTGAGCAACGCTCTACCACGCATCATGGTGCCCAGCTTCCATTTTCACTCCGGTGCAGGCCTGTCTGCCTCAACTCCTCCATCTACAAAATGAGCCGAAGTCACGCACGGTTTTTTTAATGGCCTAAATGCTGAGAGACCCACTGAATAGAGGTCAAGCGTTAGAAAAGAAGAACAGCAGAGAGCTAGGGCAGACGACAAACAAGTTATTAGCCGCAGTGTGTTGCCGTTGTCAGATATGGGCACGTGCACACGACAATGGGATTTCTTACAGGACAAAAAGATGATTATAAAGCATCGTAATGGAGTCAAGAAAGAGTCACTCATAGATTTCTCCATACGCTATTAGGCTTGATATCTCTTGAATATCCAAAAATGTTCAGTTATAAAGAAGGGACTGAAGCCATATACAACTACTAAGCGGGCTTTCGTTCATGTAGCCCTTGTTAAAGGATGTCAGGAGAAGGTAAGAGGAGTGGTTTTTGCTGCAAGTGATGGTAGGGAAATGAAAGTAGGTGCAAAAAGTTAGACCTGGAAGTATTCACATGTTTATTGAGAAATCCAGGATTTGGAAGCGAGAGAAGAATCTAGAAATGTTCAGGAAAAAAAAACAGCAATATTAACAATGTAGACAAAGATTTTGCTAAGGAAAGAAGCTGTGATTAGAATGACTCAGTGGTCCTTTCCAGTTTCAATCTGCTACTATGCAGCCTGCATACAATCAGTTGGTCATGCCAGAAGTTAAGCTGATAGTAACTTGCCAAGAGAAGACAGCTTCACTTAAATTTGCATGTGCTTTAAATCACCAAACGTATGCAGTGCTGCAGTTACCCATGCTCTTCTTCGACTTGGTTGCTGAATATAAATTGCTACTTGAGTTCACTGCCAGTAAATACCTGCAATCAATCAGATTTATTTCCACTCTGGAGAAGGCTGATGTGGTCCATATATAAGAGGTTGCAGACAGTGAGGAGTGTTACCTTCAGCCCATGCCACAGAGACTGTAAAATACATCTGGGATCTTCTGATACTTCACAGATAAACAGAGAAGTTATGAAGAAGACTTCTTTGGGGGAGTTTCATTTTTACTGCAGTCCTTTTGAATTTTGAGTCCTTGCTTAGACTGTAAATGTCTGCACTGGGCAGAGATATCCAGATCATGGTCTCAGTTACCCTTGGGAATAACATGAGGAATGGTTTTCCTATGGATTGGGGAGAGGCTGTGAGGGAAGGTCATATGGAATTAACAATTCCCTTTCTCCTCTCTCCATTCTCCTCCCCCTTATTTGCTTGTTCCTAATGCTAAAGATTTTCCAGTTGGTCAAACTTGACCTCTGATTCACTAACAGCTACGCTTTTGAGTGAGTACTTTTTAGAAAAAGTGTCAAAAGAAGGCTTTTCTCCCTCACTTTTTACAGAGAGCCTGTACTACATTAAAAAAAAGTGGCTGCCTTTCTCTGCCTGTAACTCTTGTAAACTGTGCTACTAATATGTATTGAGAAAATGGTAAATAAAATGTGAATGAAGCATTCTGCCTGTTGCACCTTTCTTGGCAAAGGAGAACCCAGTCTTTTTTTCTGAAGTTGTAGCTTTTTTCCGCTAAGGATTCTACAAAGTCCATCATTGCAGCGCTTACCCACGAGCCTCTGGAGCTGAGAATTATAGGAAGCTCACAGAAGATTAGTGCACTTTTAGAAGTTTGGGTGGGCAAGCCTTCCTAAATAGCCAAAGCCATTTTAAATACAGGAGCCCATTTATGCTACCCCCCCCCAAAAAAAAAAAAGTAATACAGCAGATTAATTTCTCCAGTGAAAAATCTTCAAAACCCTACTGCTTTATTGAACCTATGCCTCTCAGTCGGCCTGGAGTTTTAACAAACTCGAGCACATTGCCGATGTTGTGCCTGTCTAACAGGAAAACACTACATTTAACTTATCCTTATGACTTTCATCCCTCTTCTAGCCTGGCAGTTTCTTCCAAAAAGTAATACAGCAGATTAATTTCTCCAGTGAAAAATCTTCAAAACCCTACTGCTTTATTGAACCTATGCCTCTCAGTCGGCCTGGAGTTTTAACAAACTCGAGCACATTGCCGATGTTGTGCCTGTCTAACAGGAAAACACTACATTTAACTTATCCTTATGACTTTCATCCCTCTTCTAGCCTGGCAGTTTCTTCCACTAAAAAAA